AATTTACTTCATACAGTATAGCTCCAGTGTTCACCCCTTGCAGTTGGTCAGATCGACCAGTAACTGGGTAGACCGGGCTGATTTGACTGATAACAGTGCCGGAACTCGGGGTCAAAACCAGTCGCCCACATTTCGTCCGGCAATTATTGAACTCCAGTTCCATATCGTCAAGCCCTGACTACCGTATCATTTATCACGGCACTACTGTTGTTATTAGGGTCAGTGGTAAAATGTGTTTGAACATTGAAGCAGAACGTTTTTTACCTATTGACCTAGGCATAAACAGGATTCGTTTTCATTGGACACTTCAGCTTGGTGATTTTCGTGACCACACCTTCTGTTGACCGTAAACAATCGGCTGCAGAAACGGTCTCCTGCATCTGTCCAATCTGGTGCAAGCTAAACACCCAGCGACAGAGCGACGTAGACGATTATACACATAACGAGATGCATTTGCATTCTCACTGCCGAGCTGTCGCTCACTGGGTCTGTCTGATGAAAATGCAGTTGCCATTTTTCGTGCTCCTCCTTCTGTCTAGCGCAAAGAGCCTCATTCCGAAGCCGTTGAAGATCGAATTTACTGATGAAGCCGTGGCCATTCCTATCACGTTTAACTGGACAACCAATGTCCGCGACTGCTTTATATTAAACGACGCAATCAAGCGATTCAATTGGGGACTCCGACTGCGACATCCACTTTCGGAGGCATCATATGCACACGTCTCACAGTTGAATACACTGACGATATCAATAACTGATGGCTGTGATGAACGCATGCGGGCCGCAGTGCCGACTGACTCTATGAAAGAAGAATGTAAGTTAAGCATTTTTATCTATTTTTATCTATTTTTATCTATTTACATTTACGACTTTAGACACGTTGGAAATTGCAAATGGCCATATCCATATCGCTGCACCGGAAGTGTGGGGTGCGATGCACGCATTGAACACAGTTGTGCAGCTCGCTTACTTCTCTAGGACTCATCAGGTTAGACATCCAAATCGCATGATTGATTTCGTCATCCTTTTAGGTCTTTTTGAAAGGCGTGAAAATTGAGGACTCGCCCAGATTTCCGTTTCGTAGTTTTCTGATTGATACATCTCGACATTATATTTCTACTCAAAAAATGAAGGATTTCCTCGTAACTTCCAGCCCTTTTTACTTCTATAACCAATTCGACCTAAGGAAGCCATGGCGTATGTGAAAATGAACATATTTCACTGGCACATTGTTGACGACCCTTCATTTCCTTATGAATCTTCGACCTATCCAGGACTTTCGGGAAAGGTACGTATACTTCTGCCATATCAAGATTGTGACTTGAGCGCATCTTTAAGGTTTAACACAGTTAATTACGTTAAACATAGTTAGTTGATGGTACAAGTGATCACATTTAGCTGTTACGTAAACGCTTACAAAAAGACTTTTCAAGTAGTCAAACGTCTCGTTATCGTTAACTAGAAAACATGGTAATGCATCTTAGTGTTCTAGAAGTTCAAAATAAAGCAAACTTTAGACGCAAACGTCATAAGAAGTTATTTATATCAGACGGGTTCCTGACGGAATACCTTGTTCTTCTCCGAATATTTTTGGCTGAGGAGTCAATTTATACAGCTCCATGTCGTCCCTTTATTTAGTTTCTGCATCAGTCATTGTATTAAGTAATTTTCCATACCAATCCCTGCTGTTTAGGGTGCCTATGACCCCTCGGCTGCTGTTTATACAATTGACGATGTGAGGGAAATTATTGAATTCTCCAGACTACGTGGAATTCGTGTGATGTCCGAGTTCGATACACCAGGTAAGAGAAAAGTTAAAGTTCAGATTTCAAATATCTGCAAAAAAATTAATGAGTTGAATTCCTTTATCTGAAAATTACTCATAGCTCCCGAAAGAATAATAGATTTTCATATTTACAGCCCGCACAAAGCTCGTGACCTTTATTTTAGCAGGTGACACCATATTAACTGCTGGGGCAATTTTGGATGTAAAGGACTATGACCCAGTCCGTCGAGGCTTTCGGTTCTTTTTTTAAACACAACTGGTTAACGGTACTGTAAATGTTTGCAGTAAGGCTATCGTGGGTACAATCCTTGCAAATATTTACCTCTGGAAGTGCTTGTAATAATGAACTCCTTTCCGGTATTTGTTTTCATAGGACTGGGATCGTCTTAGCCACTTGTTAAATTCTCAGCCGTTGTCACAGAGAAATGTAACAAGCCAGCAATTGAAAGAAATGAATGAATATTACTTCGGACCTTCTTTAGGATTAGAAGTAAATGAGGAAATTAAATGAAGCAACTAGTTGAAGTACGCGAAGGTATTTGTTACATAAAAGGCGTTTTCTGGAAAGCATATTGATTGTTATAACCCTCACGAATTGAGGCGGATGTTCGCATCCCAGGAACGTGAATATTTTGAGAAGAAGAATTTTCGAACATGGAACAATCACTTTATTAGCCTGAGCTTTCGGGCTCCTGCAGGAGCCCATCGTCAGAGTAGGGAAAACAGCAACAAATGGTCAGAGTAGGGAAAAGCAGCAACAAATGAGGTGGCTAGTCCTGGCGTGTGCCCGTTCAAATTTTGGCTGTTCTGTGGACACCTCAGGACTAGCCACCTCATTTGTTGCTGCTTTTCCCTACTCTGACGATGGGCT